GCGTTTAATTTAAATTTGCTGAACATTTTCACGATCATTTTGTTCAACATAAAAATGTTAAAATGTTAAAATGTTAAATTGTTAAATTGTTGAATTGTTAAATTCAATAAAAAAGTTTAAAATCCGCAGAATATAGTAAAAAAGTGCAATTAGTAGGAGCGAAATGTCATTATTATTTGCTATGAATATTCACAAAAAAAAAACCCAGTAATTTCTTCATGCCATGCATTTTCATATCAAAGAAGTATCTCTTTTCTTTGCTTTTGCTTTTCTTCTCTTATTGGACTTTTAAATAAGAAGCAAATAAATAAGTTTTACACATTAAAAGTTAGTAACAATCAAGCGACATGAAGTTAAATTTTTACTAATAGTAAAAAATCGGAAAATTGAAAAATGAAAAATGAAAAATTGAAAATGGAAAAATCGAAAAAGAAGGAAACATGACTAACAAATAATTTAAGTTTTTCCAATCATGTAACAAAGTATGGCGGCAGCATAGTTTCTGCATATACGATTATACGACGAGTATACAACTTTACGAGTTAGTCCTGTCAGGCATAGTTCATGTGGTCCTGCCTTATTTAAGGCGTTTGCTGCATTTTGTTGGTCACACAACCAAATGTCAAAATGTTACTGTAAATATCAAGGCGGTTGTTTTCATTGGATTGCATTTTTTCGCGGCGCCCATTTTATTGTGTTGTACTCCGGTACTTGCATTTTATTTTCTTCTTTTTTTCATATAAATATTGTATTTTTATTTTACAAAACTTTTTTTTGTATTTTTTTTTTTTTTGTATTAATTTTATTTTTATTTTTATTACTTAGCTATTTTGTTATTTTGCTATTTTGCCATGTTATGTCGTGATCTTTGTTTGGGGAAAACATTGTCAACTCTTGTGATGCTGTAGTTTTCCTAACTTGGATTTCTAAACGGCAAACGCCTGTCTTGCCTACATTTTCTAATCGTTTTAAACGCCGTGCAAATCACCCGCCGCATTAATATTTAATTTTTACGTTTTTGGTATCGTTTGATCATATATCACACAAACGATTATTTTTTTATTGTAATTTTTTCTGAATTTTCTTCATTTATTTTTTATTTTTTTTAATTTTTTTTTTTGCTGGTGATGTGTTTACTCTAAGCCAAGCTTGGTCTTTATGACATTTTAGCCTTATTTGACAATGGTGGACATGATATGACATTTTTTCTACTAAAAGTTCATTAGTGGACAAAATAAATGTGATATACATATGAAGAGACATTTTTCACCGTTTGCATTTTCATTCAATAAAAAGTGAAATTTTTAATAGAAATTTTTTTTAAAAAAATAATAAAATAATAAGAAAGAAATTCACTTAATAAAAGATGTTTAATTGTCAAGATGTTTAATTTTTAACCGAACTTGGTTAAACTTTTCAAAAAGAAATATTTTTTTTATTTTTGCTTTAATTTTTGCAATATAACAAGCAGCAATTATTATTTAAATGAGTTTAAATAGAATAAAAATAATAAAATATTAAATAAAAAAAAATATTTAACTAAAATATCAAAATATTAAATTAAATAAAAAGTAGTTAGATATGCAAAAGCTCTTTAAAGGTAACTTCCTACGTGCCAAATAGCATATAAAATTTAAAAATTCTTAATCATATTCTATATGCATTGCTAAGCCTTGAGAAAACATGATTTCCTTAAAAATCTTGTAAAACTTTGACAAATAAATTTTGATGGGATAATAAAAGATGCTTAGTATCAGAATAACATTTCCTTAATATTCACAAAATAGAATATTCATATAGAATATTCATAATATCCTATATGCGTTGCTAAGCCTTGAGAACATATGATTTCCTTAAAAAATTTGTGAAACTTTGACAAGCAAATTTTGATGGACTAATAAAAAATGTTTAGTATCAGAATAGCATTTCTACGCCTTCAGAACATATGATTTCCTTAAAAAATTTGTAAAACTTTGACAAGCAAATTTTGATGGACTAATGAAAAATGTTTAGTATCAGAATAGCATTTCCCGAATATTCGCAAAATAGAATATTCGTATAGAATATTCATAATATCTTATATGCGTTGCTACGCCTTCAGAACATATGATTTCGTTAAAAAATTTGTAAAACTATGACAAGCAAATTTTGATGGAAACATAATGAAAGATGTTTAGTATCAGAATAGCATTTCTTTATGAATTTCCTTTCAGATCTGTTGCTTCAATAACAATTTGCATCAATCAAAACATTTCGGCACTTAACTTTTGATAGGATGGTATATACCTACGACTCTTCATTTAGATCTGTTGCTTCAACAAGATTTAGAATCAATTTAAAAAAGTTATACACTTAAATTTTGATGGGATAACAATGAATGTTTAGTATCAGAATGGCATATCCTGACGACTCTATATACAGAACAAACATATTGCTTCAATAACATTTGGCACCAATTTATAATACTTTAATATGTAAATTTGGTAATGAAACCGTGGTATTAGAGTAGCAACTTCTTGCGACTCTCTAATCAGGTCTGTTGCTTTTATAACATTTGGCATTAACTTACAAAACTGGTATGCAAATTTGTATGGTATGATGATCGATCATGGTATTGAAACAGCATCCTTTACTACTCTTCATTTAGTTATGTTACTTTGGTATCAAGTTATAATACTTTGGCACTTAAATATTGAAAAAATGACAATGGATGCATTGTATCAAACAAAACATTCTTACAACTCTTCAATCAAATATGTAACTTTAATAACATTTGACTTCAGTTTTTCGGTTTTCTTTAGACACAGAAATAGTTTAAAATAAAAGATAATATCAGAACTTTTTAGTCGATGCTGAGAGACCTTTACCAACATCCTAAAAGACTATCATATCAGACACATTAACTCCATATAAATTCTTTCAGATGTGATAAAATTTTAAGGACACATTCATAGATGGCGTCACTACAAATAATTACTTTAAAAAAGTTACATACTCATTGAAACTCGTCATATGTGGATATAAAAGCCAGCAACAATTCATATGCGTATTGTAGTGTATATGTTATATATATAGCTCCTTATATATTTTGGAAGACGTATAGATAATTATATAAAATTTTTTAAATATCATCAACCAATGGTATCTATGATATTGATAAATTGACATGATTAATAGCACTAATATAGTGTCTTAAAGTATTCGAACATTTCGATATTTGAGCAGCTCGTCTATAGTACATTTTTGCAAATAAGATACTAATAATAGATAATAATTACATTTCAAATACATTATAGTATGAGCAAGTAATTAAATATAGATAAAATTAAGGTTTTATGGAGCTCATTATCCAACTATTTATTTTTTACAGCACAAGCACAGAATATTAAAACTGAATATATACCATATAGTACTACTGTTTAATAAAGTTTATTATTTCATTAAATCGTCGAATTTTAATAACATATTTGGCTAACTTTTTGAAGCTAATAGTTAATCAGGATTTTGTATATATAATAAAACAAAACCATTTATACTAACTTTATTATTTTATATAAAGTAATAAATTTGTGTATGATTTTGATTTTATATCCAATAAAATGTTTCGACTATTTTAGATAGTAATCAGTAGGTAGTGAATTTTTATTTCTCTAATTACTATATAATAAAAATATTTATACTTAAAATTCCCTAATTTGAATTTGACAGGTTTAAATATAAATCAAATAATTTATACATGTATAAAAATACTAATTGACTTCGTCTAAATACAATAACCAAAGCATTGCTTTGGCTTTAATAAAGATAAAATTAAAAATTAATTAACTTTGAATTAATACAATTAATTTTGTAATTAATTTAATCTCGTTTTTATTTTATTCAATAAATTTGTAAAAACTTTTAGTAAGAAAAATATTTTCAAATCAAAAAGATTTTACAATCAAACTTACAAATTATGAATATAAAGCCCTGATTCTTAAAATTATATTTAAGAAAAAATAATTACATAAAATTAAAACTAATAAATTTAAAATATAATAGATTAAAGTTTTAGGTAAGAATGTGTTATGTGATATATACTAATTCAAATTTATAATTTATTTTGCTATAATACTTCTTATAATTAATGTATTTCTTTCTCCGTTCCCAATGAGAAAGAAAGCAGAAGGTGTTTCCAAATTCCAAATTAAACAAACCTTTTGACCATCAAAATTTCTGACTCCATTTAAGTATATTAGTATATTAGTATTCTCCGTTAGTTCTCAATTTTTTTCCGACCAAGGACCATTATGATATTTTTCTTTTTAATAGGGGTCATAAAGTTTAAGAATAATAAACTGTATGATTATTTTAATATACTTTATACATCTCTGGTATAATGTATAATGAATTGCTTGTTTTCTAATTAGTGATATCTCAGTGAGAAAACTACAAGCTAACATATGTATCCGTACCTGTTAAATTTAATTCACAGGCTATTTTCAACCATCTAGCGGACCACCGGTTGGGAACCACTAATATAGACGTATCAGATATAAAACGAAATGATATATAATGATACATATATTATTTTAGCTATTCGAGGGAACCGTTATTAAGATTTTAGCGACTTTTCAAAACTTAAAAATTTGTGCAAACCTGTTACTGTATACTCCGACCCGCAATATACAGTAATACTCTATAGTTGTGGATGAATTTTCTTCAGTAAAGTTACAAAATTATTCCACCTGGCAGAATGAAAATCCCACAAAAAAGTATCAAAAGACCATTACATTCACGAATTCACAAAAAGTCACCGTATCGTGACATTTGATCTGGAGGTGTCAGAAATATGCATATATTAAAAATTTTTTTTTCCAAAAATTTTTGATCTTTTATTTTTTGGTACATTCTGATAATCTGAATTGCTTAAAGAGTTATTAAATATGCGCACTCAAAAGTTACAATTTCCTTATTCAATGTTTGATATAATTTATAATCAAAAATGTTTTTATTTTCAGAATTTTCTCGCAGCTAACGCTCAGTGCTGGTGGAATGCCCCATTAACCGCTGCAACCCGTGCTTTAAAATATGCTGGACATGTTGCACCTGGCATGTTATTAGTAACTGCTGAACCATGTGCACTCGAAGTACTTAGAGGTGCTTACGCACGTAGCGTCTTAAAACCGCCAGCGACCTATGTCATCAGTTCAGTCGGTAAGTAAAACTACCAATGAATCCAATCAATATACAATATACTGGTTGATTTTATCTATGCAACGGTGTTTACCACTTAGTCCTACCTTTAATAGATAAATAATTATAATATATACTATTCTTATTAGTTAAAAAAAATTTGATCATAGTAAACTATTGTCAATTATCAAATAAAAACTAATATAACAAAATAATAATTCCAGGAAAATTCTTAGAGAACAAAAAATTTAAAGTTAAACTTAAAATTATAGCCACATCTTTTTTTGTTATAAAGTTTTTACGCTCTATTAAATTTTGCAAAAACCATGAGTTTTTTCCTCCCACCGGGTGTGAATAATCTTGAAGATGAAGATTTATTAAAAACAACACAGCTCGAAATTTTATATTGGTGTCGAAAATTGGGCGTTTCACCTTTACATTTGTTTCGACTTTCCGAAAACGAGTTACAAGAAAGATTTACCGCAGTAGGATATATCGATCGTTCCAAAAAACAAAAGAGATCTAAATTTAACAAGTTAAGAACGATGATTTCAGATAAAAGTAGGCTGACAGGTGGAAATGAAGATGCAATAGAAAAAATTGTTTCACTAGTACTTAAAAAAGCTGCTAAAGAAATCTCTGAAATATTTACACAAAAATTTGAAGTTAAAAATCATTCTGAAAAACAAAATGTTAACAATAATGATCATTCCTTCGCGAAACTAAATGATTCTATTCATGAACGAAATACATCCCATTGCAATGGCCACTCTCACTGTTCATGTGCCAACTGCATAAATCCTACTAAAAGGAAGTGTGCTGATCATATGTATGATTTCTCCAAAGTAGTGGAACCGAAATCCAACAATCACTTCGTCAGCTATTTTTCATGTCCAAATAATTGTTTTCAAACCAATCCCATGGAACCAAACAGAGAAAATCTTTCAAAACATTCCACAACGTATGATTGCATTTCACCAATGAAAGCACCACAAATTAATAAAGGCATTTCACTGTCATATGATAAACCATGTGGCTTTCGACCAATGCCACGTGCGACTACAAGCAGGATAAGTGATTCATTTGATTTTCATTGTTCTGAAGATAATAATTTTAACTCCACAAAAACAACAAGTGTCCTTTTTACACGTCCGAAAGGTGGCCAATCTGATAGAAATGACAATTATCAACAAAATGAGAGTTATTATTATGCACAGTCAAATTCTGCAAATCCAAATTCATATTATAATTCAACGCCAGTTCCCAATCAACCCAGAATTCATTTTTCACAGATTAGACAATATCCTGATACTCCAAATGTTCGTTACCAAGGACAACAGGTACATTTTACACCACCTAATGAGTCTAGAGGACCATCTTTAAAATATGGAAAATCCAAAATATGGAATCCGCACCCCAGTTACGGATTGGAAAACAAATATTTTAGTTCCATAAATGATGATAGCGAAGATTCAGATCCAGAGATTGAGATAAGTCATGATTCATTATCTTCGCTGGCAAATAGTATAAATTCGACCTTATCGGACATATCCATAAATATGAATACTGGAGGAATATTGGATCAATATCTTGAACTAACACCTGAACCTCCGATTTCTGCTGGCGATATTATATTTAATGCAGATGCGTATTCTAGATTACATAATCGCGCAAATCAGTTTTTATTAAAACCACTACAACCAACTGAAGCAGATCCTTTTCCCGGACAACATCAAACTAATGGTATTTTTCCAAAATACAATGCTGTAAGTACAGGGTATCCACAAGACGTAAGTTTGCCAGTAGAGAATCAGTTAAGTGCACCTAATCAATATCCTCAACAGAGTGCATTATCTTCTGAGACTATGACATTTAATACGCTATCAACATCTGCATCTAGTTCGGCTAGTGACGAAAATCCATTGGATATGACTGTGAAAGAATTTTTTAGACGTTATCTACGGCAGCCATAGACAAACATTTACAGAATTGTTAAAAGTATAGTAAAACTTCATCTATCATTTACTAACATGATTGTAAATGATAACCAACTCAAAAATCCTTATTGCAAATATTATTGAAAAATTCTTCCTCTTTAATCATTATTTAAGGAAATAAAACGTTAACTAAATGGCTTAATAAATTAGTGAAAAAATAGGTGAATACAAAACTGAATAAACATTTTCTACTGTTTTTCATATCAAATATATATTTAATTGTTTTTCCATATATGAATTTTATTAGTAGTTAGAAAAACAAATAAATATCTATTTGATATGAAAATCTGGTAAGAAAATGAAGAACTGTAGAGCGTAAGAAATTGACATTAGTGGCAATAAATTTTAAGTTTAATTAAAATTTTCTTTTTGACTTTTTAATTATATAAACACAATTATATTTTTGAACCCGCCAAGTGCAGTAAAATATCTATTGAATATTGTCTTATCATGAATGGTTTGTATCTTCATTATTAATTTCATTACACTGCAATGTTGTGTTATTAGAGGCGTGTATTAAAAATGTGTTATCAAAACATAGATATATCATATATATGAATAATATAACATTCAATGATATGTTAGACTCTAAATAAAACCAAAAAAAAATTTAAATTTATTTAGTAACCTAAAAAATAGGCCTTAACGAATGCAATACAATCATACCAGCACTTAACCCAATCCTACACATATATTTCGCAGGCTGTCAGAATCATCGCCTTAAACTCTTGCTGCAAATTTTGTGATTCTTAGGGTAGCAGAGTCTACAGTCATAAGGAAAGTAAATCATAGAGTCTTCAAGAGGAGCAGAAAACTACTTTTGCCATTACAACAACATTAAGGTTTTAAAAATAGTCGGGTAGTACTTATATAGGTATTAAAAGATTGTTCGGAAAATAATTTCGTTTTTTTAAATAAAGGACTTAATACGTTGGGTGCACTAATAGAGATCGTTGGATAATTTTTTTTTTATATTAGTTTGTGTTAATTTTTAAACAATCTATTTATGTATCCCAACTGGGTTTTTAGAATCTGACTAAATCGAGTTTTCTGTGCCTTAAATATATCAGCAGAAAAAATTTAGTTATTATATATCAAAAATAATTACATCTATCAGTTTCACTTTATAATATGCTATCCTAATAATACCAAGATATTTGATGGATTTCATAACGCATATTTAGAATTATGCGTTTTATATCCGAAGTGTGACGTTTTAAGCCATTTAATATATGAAAGCAGCTCTTTGCCTTTGCTAAGTCTTTATTAATCGTTGCATGGCTAACTTTTTCTATCCAAAAAACGCAAGAGATCAGAAACTAATTTAATAAATTATTTTTTTAAGTTTTTTGTGGATGATCCAATAAAAATTTACAAATCGCTTTTCTGAAACTTTTTACTAAATCAAATCAAAGTGTTTTCGGGCACTTAAGTATTTGAAATCAACTCTCTATATTAATGTAGTTATTGCTGTTCTTCGGGCTCGAACATTAACTCTTAGTACCCTTTCATAGAAGGATTTTGTCACATCTGCTATATACAGGAAAGTTTTAAACTAGGTTAATATTTGACTACTCCCATTCACAAAATTTTTCTCCTATAATATATATGGCAAAGGTCTGTAAGAATGTTTCTGTGTTTTCTATACATAGTCTGCATTCGTAGGTTTTAGATAGTTTTAACAGCACTTGCATAAAGATGTATTGTTATGTACGTTATATACATATATATAGTCTAATAAGAGTAAAAAGTATTTTTAACGATAATGAACCATATTTAATAAATATTTTGTATAGGGCTAGGTGTTGTTGTGGGCGGAATATCATGAAAAAAAATTAAGACATTTGTATAACATTGCAGGTATTTAGTACATCAAATTTCAAGAGAACATAGTTTTTGAGATTCCGCCATATGCCCTTATAAATGCATTGTAATAATAATAATAAATATATTGCAAATACAATAAGGATATAATAATAATAGTTTTTGAGATAAGTAAAATATTTTAAAATGTTCCATGTTTGCTCACAAATTTGGAGAAGTTGCGTTAGGGCGTTTGGGCTAATATTCAAAACAAGACCATCTCAGAAACAACATTTAAAAGAACTATATTTCAGTATCTGTACTGGTTCAGAAAATACAGAATTTTGATTGCAACGGTTGCCAATCTACCTATAAAATTTTTATTATTTAAATATCTATTCATTATAATGTCTTTTTTTTCATATGTGAATATAAATATAACAACAAAAAAGATAAAAACTAAAATTAATATTCAATTAATTGTAATTTAAAATTTCATGCTCATTTCAAGCATATCCTTAGGTTTCATCGTTTAACTTTAGTTTTAACATATCCAAATCACTTTTAATATATTTTTTTTATTTTTGCTATTAGCACTGCTACTTGTTAACATACATAAACGTCTACACATATATATTATCAAGAGTTATACAATATTTTATATTCGATTTTATCTGTAAAATCTTCACGTTTTCCTAGTTTATTGGAGCGACAAGCTGAAATTTGCATATCAACATCGCACTTTACATGCCGTATCCATCCGTACGGCATAATGACGATCTCTTTATGCAAAGTTTTGCTTAAGCGAATGTTTTCACAAGACATTAATTGCTTCCGTCAGCTGCTATTCCAACAAATTGCTAACAAGATAACAATAGATTCTTCATAACAGTGGCAAAAACCAAAAATGAATTTTTGTTACTTTTATTAAAAACTGAAACTGTGATAAGCACCGCCAATAGCCACCGATGATGATACGAGTATCCGTAATTGCAAATGCACACATTAATTTTGATATTGTATCTTCGTGCGGCGTTGGTGTGTTTGTATCTCATATTGCCAACTGCTGCTACTTACTTCATCGCAGCAAAAGTGCAATTTTATGCAGTTAAAGAGTTACAGAGTTACAGAGTTAAAGATCAAACAAATGAAAATGAAAACTGAAACTCAGTTGAAATCAGTTAGAGGCCAATCAAAAAATGCGTTTAAAATTGTAAAACA